AACACTGTAAAACTGCTCTATGCTGCAAAATGGAGAGTTGTAACATTGGAGTAATCAAGCCGAACATGTTCTTACTAGATTGGCTCTGTAGTTTTGTTACATGTGAAACCCTGGAAGTCTAAATCTGAGTTTTTGAGACTGTTGCTGGTACACTGTAGTGTCAAGGTGGAAATACTCAGTCATGGAACTGACTGAGTATTTCACTCATGTTACATCTTCCAGCATACAAAAAACACCACAAGGACATGTTAACAAGTTTAAAAAAAAAAAAAGAAAAGAAAAGAAAAATGAAAAAATGTGATTTTGTCATAATGGGTTTCATATTAAAAGCTTGTAATTTTACCAATTGTTTAAAATGATCTTGTGAAATATAGTGGCTGCATAAAGTAGCAAAAATGGAAATACGTAAGTAAAAATATAAGCACCTTTACAATTGTACTAAAGTAAAGCACTTACTTCCACCACTGGTAAACATTATGGCTGAAACGGAAAATCTAAAAAAAAAAAAAAGCCCCTTACCGTTTTGAATTTTGTGCTGGCCTCCGTCTTTAAGGCTGAAGCAGTTCATACAGCTTCCTAAATAATGAAATATGCTTAAAGAACCCCTAAACATGCCTTTAAAATCTCTGCAATCTCTCTGTAGATCAGACAGCAAGCTGCATGTAGTGAATCTCTCAGGGCAAACACACCCTGTAAGAGCAGCTGACTGCTTCAGTTTCAATGAAAACAATACATAACTTGACTAGGAAACAGAAACTGAAAGAAAAAATGCGCTGAAGGAAATGCCCTGTGAACAAACATTGTCTTATACATAAAATTCTTACACAAATAGTGAAATTGGGGTCAGTAAATGTATAGTAGGTGTGTTTCCAATGTAAGTCACAAATTGCAGGACTAAGAACTGGTAATTAAGCCAACAGATTTGTGTCATGATAGCTGAGAAAACTGTAATTTTAATCATGTACAACATGGGCATTATTTGTCATCCACAATCATAATAAGTGAATAAAGACTTAAGATATATGAAAAACTTACAGATGAGGTCTTGTAGTGTCCTACCACAGAGAACTTGTGAACCTGCAGCCCGGTCGTGTGCTTCAATAAAGATATATCCTAACTGTAAAGTTTTACAACATATGACGACAAAAGCAGCATTCAAGATCACGTGGGGCTTTCTTAATGAGGCCTGTTTGTTAAAGTGGCAGAGATGAACTTCTCTTATTAAATCTGAGTAATTTTACATCCAAAATGTGAAGAACAGTCTTCTTAAAGAAGATGTGTCTGACAGCAGTATGGATGAGGATGGTTCTACTTTGCTTGATATTTAATGTCCTGTGATCTTAAAGCTGCAGCATAAACAAGCAAATGAAAAGGTAGGTGGATACAATTGTAAATAAACACCAGGACAAGTAATGTGCATTTCAGACTTTATTGAAAAAATTGTACATATTTTTCAAACAAATAACACACAGAGCAACTGATGCATGAAGCACATTTCTCATAGCCACTAACAAATAAAGCATTCACAATCACTTTTTATTTTAGATTAAGCTGCGAGGCCTCTTATCATAGACTACTTAAAGCTTACTTACTTGTGTCATTATTTATAGCTCCGTCCACCTGTCTCTCTTTTTTTTTTTTTTTTGTCCTAAGGTCTAAAACCTTGTGTACACATTGAACTAGCAGTTAAAATATTGTGCAGCTCCGACTGCTCCACCCGCTGTAGCCAGAA